CTGCTAAAAAAATCTTAGCAAATTTTATTCCAGGCTGTTTTCTTTTGCTGGTACAGATCAATCCAGTTTCCCCCTTTCTGAGGTGCTCCCGTCCATCCGGTTAATGGTGCCTTTGGTTATTCTTATAGCGGTTTGTTTGCTGAATAACATTAATTCCGTTGCACTGGAGAACCTCAATAGAGTGGTTCTATGCTAACCTGGTAGAATGGAATATGCTGTAAATCTTGGAAATTTAAAGCTTCGAAAATAGTCTACCTGTATGCGTTATGATTATGATAAGCAACATATATGATGTTCTAGGGCTTAAGGATTGTGTGCATCATGTGGTGACAGCAGCTTGGATAACTGTAGGTAATGGTTTACTCGCACGACTGTATAGTACACTTGGGCTCTTGCGTTCAGTTTCCAGAGGGCATGCCTTAATTACCTTTAATAAGTCGAAAGTTAGTGTACTCTAGTATGTCAGTACCTCATTCTCATTTATGTTTGACGCATCCTTAAATTTGTTGTATCGCATGGTTGACTTTATCTCTAATTAAATTTTGCTTGGCATGTGACCAATATGTTTCCTTTTGTGGTGGATGATGCAGAAATGGAAGGTACTAGCGTCCCTATTGAGATTGATGGAGACGCGATCTGTCTGGAGAATGTTGGAGACGACGAGCATGAAGCTCAAGAGAGCGAACAGGTGCAAATCATCTATGCTACTGAAAATGGCGCTCAAGTAGCTTTTGACAGCCAAGAACAGGGAACGGAGGAACATTCTGTGAGAAGTGAAGAAGAACAGGAAAATAATTCTGTTATACCAAGCCGGGAGGAGTTTACTGAAGAATTGCGCACTAAAGTTGCGTATAGTGAGGAACAAGCCTACAGGCTGTACTGTGAGTATGGGCACCGTATGGGTTTTAGTGTGCGAAAGGGAAAGCAGTACTACTTTACAGGGACCAAAGTTATTCGAACGAAAGACTATTACTGCTCAAAGGAAGGTTTAAAGGATGATGAGCAGCTTACCGAGGCAAACTTTAATAAGCCAGAGACCAGAACTAACTGCAAAGCGATGGTCCGTTTTAGAGTTGATTCCGAAGGTCAGTGGCGAGTTATTCAGATAATTCCTGAGCATAATCATGAGTTGGTTCCGCCTGAAGAAATACACTTACTGAGATCAGTGAGGATCCTTTCGATTCCAAAACCTGGTACACTGAATGCAATGGTGAATGCTGAAATCCAATCGATGCATGACAGTTTGCATGTGCATGATGATGGTGCTGAATGCCATAGTCAGGTTAGCATCCAAAGTTACGCACTGCTTGAACCAGAGGATGCCGAAGCACTTGTAGGATATTTGAAGCGTAGAACAATTGAACAAGGTATGTTCTATTGGGATGTGCAAGTAGACCAAGAAGGCCAAATGACCAATTTCTTTTGGAGAGACGGTAGAAGCCGTGTTGACTATGACTGTTTTGGAGATGTTGTGGTATTTGACACATCATATCGTACCAATAAGTACAATATGATATGTGCCCCATTTGTTGGTATTAATCACCACATGCAAAATGTTATGTTTGGCTGTGCATTTATGTTAGATGAGTCGTTGACATCCTATGAATGGTTACTGAAATCATTCTTAGAGTCAATGGGTGGTTGTCCGCCTAAAACAATATTTACTGATCAGAATGACACTATCTCAAAGGCAATTGAAGTCATTCTCCCAGAGACATGCCATTGTCTTTGTCAGTGGCATATCGAAAAGAACCTACAGGCCCATTTGGATACACCAAATGCTTCTGGAACATTTCATAGCATGTTCATGAAATGCATGAAAGATTGCGAGTCAGAAACAGAGTTTGAGGAAACATGGGCAATGATGCTTCAGGAGCATAATTTGCAGGATGACCAGTGGCTCACTGATCTATTTGAGCAGAGGCATAAATGGTGCACAGCTCTTCACAAGGTTGCATTTGATTGTGGTATTAGATCACTGGATAGGAATTTTAGTTCAGACAATGTGCTGGGCAGCATTGCTGATGAATCAACTTCACCCACTAATTTTGCTCTTGAGTTTGATAAACTGGTTGGGAGTTGGCGTACAAATGAATCTGTAGACGATATTCAGTGCAAGCAAATTTCCCCAGAGTGTTCAGTTAAGCAGAATAGTATTTTGCAACACGCTGCTGAAGTTTACACACATAAAGTCTACAAGTCTCTTGAAACAGAGTTTCTAGACGGATGCAGTGGAACTTCATACCAGGAAATGCAATGCAGTGAAACACTGTATAGATTTGAGTTCATTATGCAAAGTAGTCCAAAAGTTTGGGTAGTTTTCCTTGACACCTCTACCATGGAATTGAGCTGTAGTTGCAAAAAATTTGAGATGATGGGCATACTTTGTTCGCATGCACTGAATGCACTTGGTCTCAAGAATCTTGATAAAATTCCTGAAAGTTATGTTTTAAAGCGATGGACAAAATATGTGAGGAAAGGGACTTATGTATTTCCAAGTGACCAGTCTCCAGAACAAGATTGCACAGAGGCTGTGCTTGCATATCGTAACCGGGCTATGTGGTTTGTTTATGATCTGCTGATGAAGAGCAAAGGTCACCAGGATACAAGAAAACTTATTCTTGACGTGCTTGAAAATGGAGAAAAATCATTGGAAAGTGTATGTGAACTGAAAAGGATGCATATACATCCCTCAGGAAAAGACAAAGATGCAAGTAAAGCTGAGAAGAGGAAAAAAAAGTTAAAAAAGCAGGATAAAAATTCAAGTAATTCCTCTTTTGCTTATCATGAATTGTAATTTGTTTAGTCCTTAGTAGCATGTGTCTAATAAATAACTATGTTGTTTTGTAGGAAATGTTAAACAAGTGGTTTTGCCTCCGCCAGCCGAGTCAGTTTTTGTTGACCAACCAAATCAAAATCAATATTTTGCAACAGAAGATATTGCAACAAACTCATCTATTGGTAGACCTTTCTTCTACCAGGTAGAAGTCCCACCATTGAGTCTTGTGCTTTATTCTTAATTATTACTGAGTACCTTATTATCTACTCCCTCTGTAACTTAATATAAGACGTTTTTTGACACTATCGTTGTGTCGAAAAACGATTTATATTAAGTCACAGAGGGAGTATTTAGGTATATGATGATAAATTTTGTGCACATTACATCTATTCCAGGAATATCCTGCTACTGGTGTTTCAGCAAGTCAGATTGAGGGGCATGCAAATATCCATTCCGTGCCTCAGTGTGCACCAGCACCACATGTATGTTGACAGACTTCCTACTCTAGAATCTAGACCTTTTCTTAATTGAAGGTAACATGTATTAAGAGGTAGATACGATTAGGAAGCTTCATATAACATGCCTATTGATACAAACGAGTAAATCGCATACCGGTACTTGAACTTGCATGCTTAGTTCAGGCAAAGTCCTAAAACAAAAAAACTAGTAGGTCCGCAAAGTCTAAATGCCTATAAATTGTTCAATCATGTCCAAAATCAGTTTTTTTCAGGGTGGCATGGCACTCCCTCATGACAAAATGCTGCCTTGGTATCTCCTCCCAGTCTCTCCCCCTCTTATGCAGTTATGCTGCCTGTTGAGATATATTTATCAAACAAGTTGAGGAAGCCGGAGTCTGAGCGATCTGTCAAAATGGCAGCAGGGGCATTTTGTAGCCTAACTACGGGCAGATTGGCGATGTGGCCATTACTGTCCTGGATTGGGGTGCATAAGTTGTGGGTGCTGGCCATGGTCTGTAGGATTGAAGTGCATGTCATGGGGCAGCAACACACCAGACATCGGGACAATGTAGGCTGCTCATTGTCTATCTGGAAATCTCACTCAGTCCGTTCGATAAACATGTCGCCTGATGCTCGTTTCTAGGCTTCAATAGGTCAAGTAAGCAGTTTGAAAGAAAGTAGTTGATGAAGCATTCATATATACATGCATGTGCTAGATAGCTGGTAGATGCCATCAATTGGTTTCAATGTGATCTGACATCGGGCTTGCGATAAAGTTCAAGGCAATTGCGGTTGGTAGAAGCACCTTTTCCTGATCTTTCGTGCTCAGGATGGTGACCTGCTAAGAGTGTGGTCAGTGCTCCCTCGCATAATATGTCAGCACAGCCCGAGCTCGCTTGTGGCCACGCCAGTTCGTGCTTATCAAGCTTATGAGTGGCCATGACAGCTTGTTCAAAATTCAGCATCCCCAAGCCGTCTGTCAAAATATCGGAACAAGGGTAGGAGACGGGAAAGAAATGTCATGTCAATCTGGCAAAACAGCTTCTGGGTCTGGTCGAGCCATTTAATTTGAGGACTTAAAACGAGTTTTGAGTTTAGGGCCCTACTTAGTAAAGTAAGCAAGTTTAAAATCAATGCTGCAATTTTACTCAATACAAATTAATTTGGTCAACATGTGGTTATACCTCTCATAAAACAAGCATGTGGTTATACCTTTAACCAAATCACCCCCTAGGGAACACAGCCGTGAGCATACAAGGGTCATCGGGATATACCATTATATCTATTAGCCTATTGTTGATGTTGCTGCAAGTTGCCAACATTTTGTTACTAGAGATCCTTGCCTTTGCCAAAGAGCATCTTATTCTTTCCTCACAGCTAATTGGAGGACTGAATGTGAAAGCAGGCTGTAGGCCTGTAGCTTGTCCTAACAATAACATCATAATGCAGATACTGCTCAGTGCTTCTTAATGTACTAATGTTGCCATGCTATTCATGAAAAATGATGTAATATTACTAGCTGGTATATTGGGTCACCAGTACCACCTCCGTAACTAAATATAAGAAGTTTTTGAACTGCAAAAACGTCTTATATATAGTTACAGAGGTATAGTAGATAATTAGTATTTTGGTATTTCTGATGGCTAGCTCTGTGTACTAACCCCCAGCCATTAGCCATATTGTATTTAAGTATCATCACACGGATGAAGAGAAGGAAGTTGGAGATGGATGAAATCGAAGTAGGAGACACACAAAAGTAAAATTTGGTGCTTGATATATGATTTATGTTTGTAGAAGAACATAAAAACGAAGGAGAGAAATCAAGGAGGCTTCCATAACTCTCTTTCTAATGCCATGCTGAATTGTTGAAGTCATCTGTAGCTATTGTATTTCTTATGTTGTTAGCAATTTCTTGTCCCTACTCAAGTGCCATGGGTATTAAGGGGGTGTTTGGTTCCAACACAAAAAAGTCCCTAGCAAACCAAACAGGGTGGGACTTTTTTGGGACTTTTTGCTAAAAGTCCTTAGAAGCACCTCCTTGAGAGTCTTTTTCAAAAAGTCCCAGGGACTAGAAAAAGTCCTAGGACTAGAGAACCAAACACCACCTAAATCTCCAGATAGGGAGAAGCCATGCTGCTTTTATTTATCCATGTTTTCTTTGTATGTTGTTAAGTTTCTCACATTCATGAACCCTGACAGGAATTTCCAGCATATGACGCAGTCCATCCCCCATCTACATTTGGTGGCGAAAGTAATTTCTGAAGAATGCAGTAGTACCATTGATGTGTGAATATCATAAGTTCATATTTCATTAACTGATTGTTGTATGGGTTACGGTGTGTTGAATACTAAGCTGTATGTAGGTCTCCTTTCTTTGGCTTTGCTAATTGATGTACCAGATGTAATTTGTTTACTCAACTGTATGCAGTGGAAGTATTGTGCAGTAGAGAATTAGGAGCTAAGAGCATCTTAAATAGCAGCCTTATTTTTGGGCGCGAGGGAAAAAAACGCCCTCCAACAGCTGCCCAACCGTATTTTTTTTTGCAATTTCCTTTTGGGCAGCCCTAAAATACAACACCAAGTGTTGCAAATATATAGCACCTGGGCTGTTGCTGCTAGATCCAGCTTGGCTGGTGTTCATTTCATTAGCAGAGAAAGAGTGGAAAACAAGTGTTGATCAAGTGATCGGTGGTGCGGGAAGAAAAAAAATGTACAAAACTAGCCTAGAATTTCCTATGCTGGCTCCGGCAAAACGGCAAGAGATTACTCGGGGCACATCCCCAAAGGGGTGCTCGATGCAGGCTGCTCCTGCAATCCTCCACTGCTCCATGTCTCAGTGACAGGCGTTGGTGATGCTTCTGGCGAATGGCAATTTCCTCGTGAAGGTGCACGCATTGTGCTCGAGCCAGATGTGCCAAGCAACGGGCGCAAGCTTCGATCTGGTTCCCTTCCTGGTGCTTGGGGTGGCCGCGTTGATGATCATCTGCGTGAGCTCGACCGTCGTAGTTCCTGTGCACCAAACCGCATGTGCCAGGGAGTGGCAGCCGCACCGTCTCTGGAGGAGAGGCGGGGCGGCCGCCGCCGGAGGAGAGGAGGAGGGTCAGGTCGCGCCGTCGCTGGAGGGGAGGAGGGGCGGTCGGCGCCGGAGGAGAGGAGGAGGGACACACCGCCACTGCGAGCTCGTTCCGCCGAGGAGAAGTCCATCGTTGCCGCCATTGAAGGAGAGAAATCGCCTCAGCGTCATGCCCGCAGAGGTAATTTTACATGTCCCTGCTGGCCGGTTCTGTATCTGTATGTAGAACATGAGGTTTGGTATGGCCGATTAGCCGGGCGTACAGGTTCAGTACATGTATAGGTCCAGATACTCGTACCGATCAGGTTCAGTACATAAGCAAACTGATTACCAATCAGGCTCATGTACAGATTCAGTACCTAAGCAAGCTGATTAGATCAGGCTCATGTACAGATTCAGTACCTAAGTAAAGCTGATTTTTGTTAGTCATATTTTAACTAACTTTACTAAACTGAAACTGATTTATTTTAGTGATATGCAAGTAAAACTACATCTCCAGCATACTAACTGAACTCTTTGTCACTAACCGAACTTTTTCCAGGTGTGAGTAACTGAAATCAGCATGATTACTCTGCTCTGAAAATTGAGAATTCTGTTGTGCCTCACAATTTTCAGTGTTGTGGGATGACAGAAATTTTCAGTGTTGTGTAGATGAGGCTTGGGCATTTTTGGGGTGCATATGGGGGTCACACCGGCTTTGATGTGAGAAAGAGATACACACAAAAAAAAGTAGACTTGATGGTTAGGTTGGTTCATGCAGATTTGTTTGTTCCAACGAGGGTCATCAAAGAAAAGGGCAAACTGATCATGCACCAAAGCGTTGTAGAGCTGAAACAAGAACTGACTGTCAAGCTCGTATGTGTTTTCAATTGGATCGAGAGGCCGAAAATTATGAAGTAACTGAGGCTGTGCTTGAACACAACCACTTGCTTCAATTGCCACAAACCCGCCACTTGATGATATCTCAAAGAAAGATTTCAGAACGACAAGCTTTTGAAAGTTCAAATTTGATGAATGTTGTGTAGACATAGTTTGAAAGTTCTTGATTTGATGAATGTAAAGGCATTGCCAACACATTATGTTCTAAAGAGATGGACTAGAGAAGCACGCAATGGAAGTATACAAGATAGACAAGGAAGGAAAGTGGTAGAAAATCCAAAATTGAAAGTGCAACTTTGGTACAAAGATATGTCTCATAGATTTCACGATATGGCATATAAAATAGCCAACTCTCCTGTCGGTGTGGAACGACACCTATGGGATCACAAGAACCCCTACTACGGTTGCCGGGGCGCGGGGTTGTGAGAAGAGCAGGATTAGTAACCAGCACGAGGATCGTTTATCCAGGTTCGGGCCGCGAGGATGCGTAAAACCCTAGTCCTGCTTTGGTGGGTGTATTTCAGAGAGTTCTTGAGCTCTCCAACTAGTTGTGGTGAGTGTGTGGCTCGAAAAGGCCGAATCCCCCTCCAGTATGCCATGAGCCTCCTTTTATAGTCGAAAGGGGCTGCCACAGTGGCACACCGAAGATGGAAAAGGCGCACAGTGCTATGAGCTTATCGCTCGTATTATAGGACAAGGCGCATTTAATGCATCACTTAGGTGTCCCCTTGCTTTATTGGGGATGGGAACGAGGCCCGTCCCATCCGTCGCCGCTCCTCCCTGCTTCGACACGTGCCCTGGTCAGCGATGCATGCGGCGCCATGTAGGCAGGCAGTTAAGGTGGCACGGTGGCAAAGCCTTCACGAAGATCTGCATGCCGCCACGCAGGCGCTTGCTGAGTTGGCCTGGAGCTGCATGTTGCCACGCAGGTGCCTGCCCAGCTGGTTGGGCTGGCAGCTGCATGCGAACGGTGGTGGAGACTTGGGTAGTGCAGGCCTGGACGTGGCCCTGCTGGTGCCCTTGGTGAGGGCCTTGCCGGGTGGCCCGGCAAGGGCCTTGCCGTGGCGTGCTGTTGTCCCCGGCAAGGACCTTGCCGGGGGTCTGGTGGCCTTCCTCGGCAAGGATTTTGCCGAGGGTCGTTGTCTTCTAATCCTCTTGAGTGTTCCTTGTCTCCACAAAGATCTGCATGCCACCATGGAGGTGCCTCCCGAGCCCTGGCCCAATGTGATGTTGGAGACCGTGGACTCAAGGGTGGCTCGCTCTGTTGGTGTGAGGCGAGCTGCCCCGGCAAGGGTCTTGCTGGGGCTGCTGAGGTTGCCCCGGCAAGGGTCTTGCCGGGGGGACCTGCTTCGTCCCTCTGCTCTTTGTGGTCTTGGCCTTGGCGTTGCTCTGGTTGTCTTGGGCTTCGGTTTTACCTTGGTTCACCTCACCTGCTCTGCTTGGTGTGGCCGCAGGCGCGGCTTTGACTGTCAAGCAATGACGAAGTCTAACTCTCTTCCTATGCATCGGCATGTCATAAAAGAACAATTCATGCACACCTAGTAAAGGCCAATGCATAGTATAAACAATTTCTTGCAATTTTATCATGTTGGAAACATAGAGAGTTGGAGATATAGTTCCTCTCTCATAATAATTGCAAGTAGGAGCAGCAAGCACATGCATATTATATTTATCGAAATCATCATGTGCAACGGTAAAAGGCAACCCATCAATATAATCCTTAGTAAGTACAAACTTCTCCGATATAGTATAATCGGGAGAATTCAAAAAGATAATAGGACTATCATGCGTGGGTGCAATAGCAACAATTTCATGTTTAACATAAGGAACTATAGCAAGTTCATCTCCATAAGCATAATTCATATTGGCATCTTGGCCACAAGCATAGCAAGCATCATCAAAAAGGGATATTTCAAAAGAATCATAGGGATCATAACAGTCATCATAGCAATCATCCTTCGGTAAGCACGAAGGGGAATTAAACAATGTATGAGTTAAAGAGTTACTCTTATTAGAAGCTAGGCACGGGTGATCAATCCGCTCTTCCTCTTTTTGTTCTTCGCTCTCCTCCTCATATTTTTCATCTAATGAGCTCACAGTGTCATCAACTTCTTCTTCCATAGACTCCTGCAAAATATTAGTCTCTTCTTGGATAGCGGAGTATTCCTCAATATATTTTTTAACATAGGTATTAGAAGCATAATTATCATAGCAATATTTAAGTATAGCAAAATTTTCAGATTTGTGAAAAGTAGCATCATACTTTTCAATCAAAGAAGCAATTTCATAAGCATCCTCAAAAGCAACAAATTCTTCAATTTGTTGAACATTATAGTAATTGTAAACACCCTTAGCATACGAAGATACGATTCCATTATCACTAAACTCACATTGATAGGGAAGGTGTTTCTTAGGGTTTTCAGAACAACAAGTAAAATCATATATTTCACATAAATTCCAAGCATAGCATTGCAAACGTTGAATTTGACCCCATAATAGTTTCCCTTTTTCAGATATACGGTGTCGCACATAACAAGCATGCTCATCTAAAGATTTGCCCTCAACTAAGCTAGTTGGGGTTTCGGCACGAGCACAAAGGGATCGAAGATGATCCAAGTAAAAAGCTTCAGCAGTGTGATAGATTTTGAGTGGTTCTTCAACCATTGATTCAGTAGGTACAACTAATTTTTTTGGTATTTTGCGTTTTCTACCCATAACTAAAGATAGAAAACAACTAATAACAGCAAATAAAAATTACTTAATGATAAAGCAAACAAGCAGAATATTCATCCCACGCTATTGCTCCCCGGCAACGGCGCCAGAAAATGGTCTTGATAACCCACAAGTATAGGGGATCGCAACAGTTTTCGATAAGTAAGAGTGTCGAACCCAACGAGGAGCTAAAGGTAGAAAAAATATTCCCTCAAGTTCTATCGACCACCGATACAACTCCACGCACACTTGATGTTCGCTTTACCTAGAACAAGTATGAAACTATAAGTACTTTGTAGGTGTTGTTGGATAGATTTGCAAGATAATAAAGAGTACGTAAATAAAAAGTAGGGGCTGTTTAGATAAAGAAACAATAAAGTAAATATAGCGAGTGTGGAAAAGTGGTGGTAGGAGTTGCGAAATTGTCCCTAAGCAATTGACTACTTTACTAGACCGATAGCAAGTATTATGTGGGAGAGGCCACTGCTAGCATGTCATCCCTTACTTGGAATTCTATGCACTTATGATTGGAACTATTAGCAAGCATCCGCAACTACTAATGTTCATTAAGGTAAAACCCAACCATAGCATTAAGATA